ATCTTATAGACCTGGATCATGTCCCCCCTTAGTCTCCTTTGCTCAAGGCTAAACAGATTCAGCTCAGCTAACCTCTCCTCATAAGACATTCCTCTAAGACCAGGAATCATTCTCGTAGCCCTCCGTTACACCTTTTCTAAGGCAGCAATGTCCTTCTTAAGGTATGGTGACCAAACCTGCACAGAATATTCTAGGTGGGGTCTAACCAAGGAATTCCACACACCTAGAGATATAACCCAACATTCTATTGGCCTTTTTTATTGCTTCCCCACACTGGCGAGAGTGGGACATGGAAGCATCAACATACACACCTAGATCTTTCTTGTAATCAGCTACCTTTATTTCAGTGGAACCCAAAAAATATCTGTACTTTATATTTCTGCTCCCTGCATGGATTACCTTACATTTATCTGTGTTAAATTTCATCTGCCAAGTTTCAGCCCAGTCGTTAATTAAATCCAGATCCCGTTGTAGCCTCTCTGCTGCTAGATCAGTATCTGCTACACCACCCACCTCTGTCTGCAAATCTAACCAGTTTACTGTATGTATTGGTGTCAATATCATTAATGTAAATTAGGAACAATAGTGGTCCTAAAATTGAACCCTGCGGTACCCCACTATGAATGCAGGCCCACTGTGACATTGTGCCTCTAATAACTACTCGCTGCTTCCTGTCAGTTAACCAGTTTTCGATCCAAGCTGCCAGAGTTCCTAAAATCCCTGCAGCTTTGAGCTTTAAATGAGAAATCTTGCCTTGTGGATCCCCCTGGGGAGTGTCTGCGCTGCCCCCGGTGTTACAGTTTGGCCGGGCAGGAAGGCTGGCGCTCTGGAGCTGATTCTTCAGGGTCAGCCGGGTGCAGAAATACTTCTTGTGTACCTCGCGGGATGTGCCAGCGATGTGAATGGATGACCTTCCTGGCACTGTGGTGGACGACCAGGTTCTGGCCTATAAGCTGCTTGCAATGCTCCGCCACCCCAGCCAGCATGACCCGCTCAGGCTCCCGCGTGAAGTCAAGCAGCATTTCTCGTTTTCTGGAGGTTGACAGCGACTGCCATGGTCACTGTAGAAACAGGCACTTGTAACTTCATTCTCTTTGTGGCAAAGTGGCATCTTCAACCAGGAAAGGAGGAATACGTGAATTAGAGAAACAAAAATGCCTGTCACATTGACTGACAGTGACAGCACCCGTCATACCAAAACGGAAATGCAGTCAGCTCAGTCCAAAAACTACATGAACACCCTGCGCTGTCCCCAGCAGCCCCTGCTGCTGGTTTGGAGGGCACCCTAGCAGATTAAAATCCACCTAAGCAAGTTTTGCCTGAAATAAAGGTCATGATGAAAATCATCCTGAATGTAATGGGTTTGTTCAGCAACATTAAAAACTGCAGAAAGGTCCAGGTTCAGTTCAATGACTGGAAAATGATTGACTGTTAAAACAACTAAGGCGGGACAGCGACTCCACTAACCCGAACCCTGCCTGTCATCTACCACCCTCAGCTAACTGCAGACATCTTCCAACTTAAAGATGAAGGTCAATATCAGGTGTGCCCCATTAAATACTTATATTATTTTCCAGACTCAAATGTTAATGTCCACTTGGTGGTTGCAAGTATTTCTGCCCACACTGCATCTAGGTCATATCCAACTGCGCAGGGTCGGTTCTGGAGGGGAGGGGCATTGCCCCTGTTTCAACTTACATGAACTGAAATAAATGTATTATTTTTATTATTATTATTTACATTTATATGTGTGGGTTAAAATTGTATGCTCTGCGAACAGGCGAAACACAAACGTGAGCACATTTTCTTGACGGACTCTTAATGCGTGTGCGCCGAGACGTCGAGTCGCTTCGTTGGTAAAAAAAAAAAAAAAAAAAAAAAAAAAGCTAATGATAGAAGAAAGTAGTAGTCAAGCTTGTGGAAGCAAGACAGTCTAAGCAAGAAACCAGAGTGAGTTACATAACTGTACTGCAAAGCCTTGCATAAATAACATCGATTTTCAAAAATTTCTCTTGCTTCTTAATGCTGGCAATCTAGTGTAAATAATACTTGGAGGACATTAAGGTCCAAAGGCATCTGCCCCCCCCTAAAAGAACAGCTGGCCCCAGCCTGCCCCCCGTCAGTTGAAATGGTCTAGAACTGGAAACGTAACTGCATCTTGTAAATATAACCGGTATAAATAAACAAATTTAACCTCCTGAGACCCAAGGAAAAAAGTGTCCTTCAATTTTAGGTTATTTGTCTTTGGAGGAAATTTAAGACATCTTACTATTTAGATTTTTTTCAAAAAAAATTTTATTTTTAATTTCACAGCATGTCCTCTTTAGTGTACAACAGGAATAAATACGTTTCCTAACATGAAAAGATGCAAAAATAAAATGTCCACTACAATGGACATAAATGAATGGGTGGGGTCTCAGGAGGATAAAGGAAGCGCGCGTGGTGTAGGCAGCGTCGTGAGAATGCCAAAGTCACGCGCACCGAGTTCTACTAGGGTTGGCGGCTAACGGCCGTTAGCGGAAAGTGCCGTGTTGTGGGGTTCCCAGTCCGGACCAAACACCTTCGGCATCGCTGGGTAACCTGCTCTCTGTATAACCGGTCAGTGAAACCGACGGCAAACTCTTCATTACAAAGCTCTAATGGGTGACTTAACCGTTACATCGCGGCAGGGTTGGGGCGTTCGCCACGATGCGCAGTAACGAGCGCCCCTCTATTTTACGGTATTGTAACGTCCGGCAGACCCAGGCATCCCGGTGGTGGCCCCAAGAACCGAGGAGACCATTCTATTAAAGTTAATTAACTAAAATCTTGTTAAGACTTTTTTTTATTATTATTAAACCAGTAAGGGACTATAAGAACGAAACCTTCACCAGTCGACAAAAAACGGCCTACGCACTGAGTTCAGACGCCGGACGTGCAGTAAAGCACACAGGGTGGATAATTTATCCAACAGCTAAAGACATGGGAGGACAGGGCAGGGGCACGCCCGACAATCTGTGGTCAGTGGCCTGTACTACCCCTTAGCAAAAAGTAGTATACTTGAAGTTCATGTTATTAACATATTAACATATCAACCGTTTTGGCCGGGAAACTATCATATTTTACCCCTCTTTCCCGCCGTCCTCCCGTATTAGTATTTTCCCGTAAATCTCCCGTATTATAATATCATTTTTTAAAAATTCCTCTGCCTCTCCAAACTGAACTGTCAGTAGCCTCGCGAGAACTGCCACCTGCAGTAGTCTGCAGGTCATTTACAACATTAACCAGGTCATAAATGGCAATGCTGTGTGCCAAAACAACGTTACTTTCTCCTTCTGTGACGACTTCAACAAGGATGCAAATTGAATTAGGCCTGAGAAATTACAAGAAAATGTGTAATGAAAATAAAATGTAAATGACAAGTGCCAGAAAATTTCCCTTATTTTCAAATCCAAAACTTGACAGGTATGGTTGAGTATAAGTATAGCAAGTATACTACGGACCATGTACTTGTAATGTACTAGAAAGTATACCAATTTAATACTTCTTTGGACTAAATTGGAACATTTTTAAGTTTATAAAAGTATACTTTATAAGGTCGTTTTAATTTTACAAGAGTATACTTTCAAGTGTACAAGTACACTCATCTATATACTACTAGTGTACTAGGTATATACTTCTAGTACACATTTTAGTTTATTGAAGTACATTAGAAGTATACTTTTATGAACTTAGAATTACTAAAATTAAAAAATATATATATTTTTTTGCTATAAATTAAGTATACTTGTGAATGGGCTGCATTATATATAGTGCTTTTTCACTCCTATGAGTACTCAAAGCACTTTACAATACATGCCTCACATTCACCCATCCACACACCAGTGGAGGAGGCTGCCATGCAAGGCACCAACCTGTGCACCAGGAGTAATTTGGGGTTCAGTGTCTTGCTCAAGGACACTTTGATGGGGTCAGGAGGATCCAAGGCTTGAACCTGCAATTCTCGGGGTGCCAAACAATAGCACTACCTCCTGCGCCACCATCTTGCTTCTTGTAAGCATGCTTAGCTTATTACTTGTAGCATACTATGTATATACTTGAAATATACTTCTTAAAGTATTCTTAAATTCAATTCATACTGTATGTACACTAGACTGCAATGTATTTACAAAATCACGACAGAATGTTGAGAAGTAAAGTATACTAAAGTGTAAGTATAAGCTTTAGTATTAAAGTATAAGTGTAAGTATTAATGCATTTAGTCTTAGACTTTTCTTTATACTTAGTATGTCAAGTATACTTCTCTATACTCTTCTAAAGTATATAACATATAGTATATAAAAAGTAGATTTCAAGTATACTGCCTCAGTTTTTAGTATAAAATAAGTATACTCATAGTACACTTGAATAAACTACTTTTTGCTAAAGGATGAAGCGGGGTTTCTGGCTTATTGGGGTAACTTGTCAGATTTAAGGTAGTCTGGGCAAAATGTAAGTAAACGAATATGAAGTCCATTTAAACTGCTGTGGTACCTTAAATCCGACAAGTTACCCCGATAAGACAGTAATCCCGCTTCTTAGTACGGGCCACAGGAGCAAAATAAGTATTCACAATAACACAAACAAGGGGCTATTTACATTTTCCCAGCATGCTCCAGTGCCACGGTATTATTTTGGAGGTACATGCTGGTTAATTTAAGAATACTTTACTAAAATTGAAGTGAAGCACAAATGTTTGTTCCTAGCCATTCATTAATAATGGAGCCCTAATAACGGTAGCGCAGAATCAAACAACATTGACAAGAGAAACCTGGACAGGGGTGGTGGGTCTGTCTGAAGGCTGAACAGCAAGTGAAAGGTGAACACTGCCACCTACTGGATGGAAAAAAACACGGCTGCCGTTTTACAGGCAGTATACTGCCACCTACCGGGTCCTGTCTTCATCAGTGGAATCCTAGTATAAACGAAACCACCTTTTTAATTCAGCACGTGTTGTTTTCAGTAGATAACGATTCGTTTTAGTAAGATTATTGTCTTGCGTATTTTAAGAATACGAAAATTTTGTAAAGAATTCAAAAGAACATTTAACAGATTGTGATGTAATGAATGACAGTATTAATGGTTATATTATTCTGACATTTCATTCAAGTAATTGTAATAATAAGCTTTTTCCTAAATAGTTATTTCAGACTTGTTTAGTGATCAACAGTGTATTGTTTAAAAACTTTGTAAATGTATTGTTTTATATGCTGAATTCCTAGGAAACAAAATGTCAAAAAACCATAAACAGAATAATGGTTGGAGGACTCTTTAAGGTCTCCATAGCATTTTAACAAATTGAAAATACAATCTTTACTCAGTCCAAGAAGTCTTCTTCACAAATAGTCATGTATCACATTGTAATGACAAAACATGGTCTGATTTCCCACTTTTTTGTAGTTTCTTCAGAGAAGGCAAATGAGGGCAGATTTCCAGTTTGTCTGAGAAGCAAAATAATAACACAACAATAGTAAAAAGCCAAATACTAGTTTGCAATATTTGGTGAGATTTACTGGATGGACAAAATGGGAATATCGTTTCAAGTTATATTTTGTAAGTACAATTGATTTTTAAAATGACCGATATGTGAAAAACTATCATATTTTGAAAAGTAGGAAAAGTAATGTATCAGGTTAGGATGATAGTATTTGTATGTGAGTAACTGACCCCTTCCTTCTGTTTCAGTACAGTGCATTGTGGCTGTCCTACTTCAAGGTGAGAGAACGGTCTGCAGCTTGTGTTTGAATAGACATGTCTCTTTATTTATGATTAATCTTTTATTTACCTGATCTGATATATATATTTTTTTTATTGTCAATTTACATTTTATGTGCAAGATCAAAAGCAGCATTAAATAAAATGTATTTGATTAGTAACGTACACTGATACAGTTCACTGATACAGTTTCTTATACCTTATCAGTTTAGCCTGAAAGCCTGTGTATTTTAACAGGTACTTCTGCCTTAAAAAGGAGTCTGACCATTATATAACTTTATACATAGTGCTGAAATATACCCGGTCACCCCAATCTCTATTGTCAAAAGCACACCTTGAAAGATTCATAATGAATATCACTGTTCTGTGTCTTGAGTTCAAATTATGTCCATGAGATGGAAACAGGAAGACATTTGTTTCATAAGCTGGATTTGCTGTTTCATTACTTACGCATTCATTTTTTATCCTGATTACAGAATGTGAGACATTACTAAGTGACAGAATGAGTCTGGAAGTTCACCTGCCAACAGATGGTATTAATCTGTGTCTCTGTGAAATGGTTTCAAAGTGTCAAGTTTAAAATATGTTATTCTGAGCTAATTTGCAATTCAGTGCCATGTAATGACTAGATGTGCCTGCCTTATCCTCTGACTCATTCCATCAACAGTGTGGCTGATCCCAGAAGTCATTTTGATTGCCACTCCTACGCACCTGCTAGTGGAGGGAGATGCTCTAAATCTTACCTGTATTGATACAGTAATTGAAAGTCCCAACTCCACATTGGTCTACACAATCCTCAGGGACAACCACACAGTTTCTAGGTCTACGGGGTCTCGGTCCTTCAGTTTCTTCATACCCAGTGTTGCTAAGAGCGATGCTGGGTGGTACAACTGTTCAGTCACTGACCCACTGAGGCTCCAGAGATACAGTGGGGGGATACAGGTCACTGTGGAAGGTGAGACCCGTGCAGCCCATTCCCCCTCAGCATGCACTCATGAGCTCTACCACGAAAGAACTGCAGAAATTATTCTAAAGGTTACCTGACCTTGTACCTCTTCCTGACCTCCCATGAATATTTGTCTCATTCGGTTCAGATTTATTTCAGAAAGTGGTTCTGATGTCAACACACGAAGGGGCATTAGTCATGGAGAAGGAGTCTCAGACCCTCCGCTGCATGGCCTTTATCCACAAGCTGAGGGCAGCACGCACCAATGTGACCTACGTCTTTCTGAAGGCAGGGCAGCCCATAGCAAGCAGCAGCTCTCCTGTGTTCCACATTGCCAGCACCGAGAGGAGCGATGCTGGCAGTTACAGCTGCATGGCCCGCTCAGGGACAGCTGTCGGACACAGTCCAGAGGTCCATCTTGAGTTATATGGTGAGGAAATCAGAACCTGTAAGCAGTGTTGGTAGTAACATGTAACATTGTAACAAATTATTGTAATTCCACTACATTTGGTGGTAACAAGTAATATAACGGTCATGACCTGTCCTGTCCCCATTTGTGTCTTGCTCATTATCCCCAATCCAATTGTGCTAACTGTCCACATCTGCTTTGTGTCAGTCCCTCTTTAGTCATGTGTATAAGTTCTTCCCAGTCCTGTGTCCTCCAGTTCAGTCATTCATATCAGTCCTCCTGTTGCCTGTGCCTTTTCCAGTGCTAGGTTTCCCGTTTTGACCCCTGTGGCGCTGTTTGTTTTCCTACTCCTGTTTGTTTTGGTTAATAAAGCCCCTTTTAGTTTTCCTCACACCTGCCCTCAAGTCCTTCGTTTTTTGTGTGATGACAATAACAATTAAAAGTACTGAAATTAAAATGGGCTTGTTACTCATTACTTTTGTCTTGCATGAAAATATTAATGGACAAATGCAGCTTATTGCCCTAATTTCCTGTTTATGATGTTACATCATCTGGCCTTACTGTGGCACAATGAATGAGTGATATTAGGTACAGTGGTAAAGTAATGTCTCGCACTGTGTTACAGCAACAAAGCTAAAATAATAATTACCCAGACAGCAATGTGTGTGTGTGTGTGTGTGTGTATATATATATATATATGTGGTAGGGAGGTTTAAATTAAGTGACTTAACTGATTAAAAGTTATCCATCCATCCATTATCTATACCGCTGCATCCATCTGGGTCGTGGGGATTAAAAGTTATAAGTTTATAATTTCAAATATTTACAACATGACAGATGCAGTAACAACAGGCCTAACAGTTATGTGGGGGTGGGGGGTTCTCTCTTCCAGAACATATTCCAAAACCCACACTGACGGCCATGCCCCCGAGTGGAAGGGTGTACACAGAGGACCAGATAGTCCTGAAGTGCAAGCTGGATGCCTTTGTTGGCTGGACGTACTACTGGTACAAAGACAGGAAGGAGGCCTACCCAGTGGAGCAGAACTGGGGCAGCAAAGGAGTCAGAGCCAAGTACATAATCTGGAGGGCATCTCTCGAACACACCGGGTGGTACTGGTGCAGAGCAGGGAGAGGGAGCCCCATCTTCTACACAGACTACAGCGAGCCTCTCTTCATTAATGTCACTGGTGAGTGGGCTATTTCAAAACAGGGTGACAAGTGATGTCAAAAAACAACTGAAAGTGCATAGTAATGGTAAATGCACATAACTAGCTGGGTAAAACTAAATTGGATATCATAGGGTAGTGCATGTGTAAAACTATTCTCATATTCTCTGGTCAGTTATCTTAGGCTATACCACAAATTAAGTTAAGGGGTTTGTGGCAGTATTTGGCTTTAAGTGATTTCCAAAACTGTTCTTTTTTGGTGGCAAAATGATTATACAACATAACATAACATACAACAATTAAAAAATTGCATACAAGTTTTATTCACTGTGGTTTTTTCTGAAACCATTATTAAATCAAAATGATATATACACACATACATATATATATACACACGCACAAACACATATATATACCTACTTCGATTATTAATTTAATGGTGGCAAAAATTCCGTAATATCTTTTAACTTGGTGCCCAGGCCTCTTAACTTCCTGTTAGTGATATAGATTGGCTACAGCTGGTTCCTTTTCTGTGCCACCATATAAAGGGCTCATTTAACAGCACTCATTGGATCAACCAACACATATTACAAAGTAAATGTCCAAGGAGCTCAGTACTGATATGATAAAGAGGACTATAGACTTAAGCAGGTCAGGAATGTCTCTTGGAGCCATTTTTGAATAACTTCAGATTGCAAGATCATCAGCTCAAACAGCTATTTGTAAGTACAAGTCATATAGAGCTGTAGTCACTTTGCCAAGGTCTGGAAAAAGGTCCAAACTGTCACACTCAGCTGAGTGGAAGTTGGTCTAGATGATCAGATGCAATCCAAAAACCACCAAGAAGCATGTCTGCCACTGGAACACCAGGAAACACCAGTGTCCCCGAGCAAGGTCAAGCGAGTTTTACATCTCCATGGAGAATGAATGTCCAAAACTGACACCTTAAAGGTGCCACCGAGTGTGTTTTTTTCCCCACATTGTTCTCTGGTGCCTATATAGAAGGTATGTGAACTTGGTTTGGTTGAAAAATATCCAGAAGTGGTTTTACAGGCCCAATTACAAACCTATTATTTGGCCCTAGAATTAAACAGCCCGTTTTCCCTTATTTGGTGGACTCATTAATATGTTCATGAGCTCTGCTCTGACTGGCTGGTTTTCAGTGATGCACTGTGATAGCTGAAACAGAACCAATGTAGATCATTACAGGGGAGGTGAAACATGGAGCATTCCAACCATATTTGTTTGATCCTGTCTCAGAGGAGGAATCAGATGATGAGGAACAGGCAGTTGCTTGGAGATTGCCAAATGAACACTTCTGAGTTGTAGGTTTTGTCATTTAATGTTTCCAGGAACAATTATGCAGTATGTAACTGTAATAATCCCACTTCAGCCGAGGCATAGTGTTAGCATAATCATAACATTGCTTTCAGCATTGTAACAAGAACACTGAAATTATTTTAAATCTCACGCAACAAATGATTTTACGATGCTAGCTTCATCATGCAAGTTTTATCAAGAACTCCAAAGAGCAAGTGGAGCAGCTTGTACATGTATTGTTTGTAATGAATTTGGACTTCTGCTTTAACTGCAATTATCAATTAGATATTTATATAGCTAACCAGGAGTAGGCTATGGGAAGTACAGACGCCTCTTATCAATGTCAGTATCACAGACTTCATAATGTTGTTTACTACTCCCCTGCTGAACTGGGGTACTTATCCCAAAAGCATAGTTGTTAGCAATGTTAGCAACTTACATAGTCAGAAACATGCAGCTGAACAGTTCCAACTATGTAAGTTGCTAACGGGAACTTTTGGGACGCTAACAGGAACTTTTATGCATACAGCCTGCTATTTTAGCTGTTGTCCTCTGCTTAGTTCTTTATAATGGTGTGATGTGCACGAAAGATTTGTAGTGAATCCCTTACAGGAACAAATCACTCACGTTCACTTGGTTGCAAAGATTTGTTCTTTTTGTTCTTCTGCTTGTCCTCAGAAATGTGAAGTGAATGCTGCATCCACCTCAACTATGGCCAGTGAGAGCCAATGAGGCATGTAATGGTGTGCTGAAAACATATGATTGGCTGGAAACTAAACCTGGGACTGAACTTAAATGCCTACAGTGAATGAACGACCGAGAGTCACTAGTTTAGATCTGAAGGAGAGTCCTGAAGGAGTGAACGAGTTGGTGAATGAGAGACTCAGATAGGCTACTGAAAGAGAGAGTACCTTGGTTGTGAGTGAAATGGACCATCTATTGGTGTTGCCTGCATGGGCAGTGGCTTCCTGTATGCTGCAACAGGATTTTAGAGATGCAACATTTTCACGCAATAAAATGAACTTAACCAAGGATTGTTAGAATTTGGATGTATTAGCCATGTAATGAGCTGTTAGGTTTGTATCTTTAACAAACATGAGTAGGTAAAGTACAATGTTCAGAGACTTGTAATTGAATATTATTTTTCTCACATGACTTATTGGTGGTATTTAGCTTACTCTTTAGCACTATTTAGCCTAAATAATAGCTATTTGTTGACATATTGAAACACAAATGTTTCAGATCTGTTTTATGCAAATTGGAAGTGCCACTGAACGAGTTGGTGAATGAATCAGAACAAATCTTATTGGTGACCTGAATCAAATGAACTGTGTCCGAAAAAAACAAGCAATTTTGCCCATCATTTGTTCTTCACAATACCTACAATACTGTTTAAGTTCGAATGTGCATGTCCATTGAGCTTGAACGTAGGCTGGCATATGTTAAGTTTTGGGATGTGGTTATGACTTATGTTGTCTAGGAATTTTGAAATAACCCCTTTCACTTCCTTCATTTACATATTCAGTAATAATATTTGAAAGGGGGAACAACAGTGTTTGAGATTCACTGTATGTCGTTTCAATATGACCCACTTACATAAAGTTAGATTTTCATTCTGTGGTACATTTAAGACTGCTGATTACATGGACAAAGAAGAAGCCTTCTGGAGGGAAGATTTACAGTCAGATGAGACAAAGATTGAGTTGCTTGTCCTCAATGACCTCAAAGTACAATGTGGACAAAATAAAGAAGGAGAATTACCTCAGAATTCTTCAACATAAACTCAAATCATCAGCTAGAAGGCTGAAACTAGGTCGCAGTTGGTTGTTCCAGCAGTACAATGAACCTAAACACACATCAAAGCTGGTTTTGGAATGGCTGAACAGGCTAACATTAAATATTTGGAATGATCATCCCAAAATCCTGACCTTAGCCCTATTGAAAATGTGTGGATTGTGCTTAAAACTCAGGTCTGTGCCAGTAAAAAAAACCAACAAATTTGGATGAACTCTACCAATTCTTCCAAGATAAGTGGTCAAATATCCAACCAGAATTCTCCCAGAAGTTTACTGATAGCTGCCAAAATCATGTGATCAAGGTGAAACATGTTAAGGGACATTTCACCAAATATTATGTGTGTTATATGTGTATTTTTGACCCTGTATGTATAAATATGACCCACTCCATTTTGTGATTTTTTTTTTTTGTAATAAAATTGTATGGTGTGCAATCATTTTGCTACAAAAAAGAACAGTTTAGAAATCATTGAAAGTGCAATATCTCCATGACATGTGTCTTGGATAAGCGTATGTAAATTTTTGACCACAACTGTATAAAGAAACATTATTCACCATAAATGAATATCAGACGTACAAGGAAAGAGAGAATCTGAAAGACTGGTGGGATATTAAGGACATTATATTTTGTACAAAGTCTGAAGCTGAAATTTGGACCTTTCACGTGTAAGCCCAGTGGCAGTCATCGGACACCTCTCACACTGCCTCTTTATGCAAACCTTATGCAGAGTCCCCCGGAATGGTGCTGAGGGTGGGGCATGTTTTTTCACCCAGACAGATATTCTAGATTTGCTGATTCATTACTTACTTGCATTCATTATTCATTTCCCATACATTGTTTTTTTTTTTTTTTTGCTTGAACTTTGTTCTGATTTAATAATGTGAGACATTACAAAGCCAGAGAACGAGTCTGGAAGTTCACCTGCCAACAGATGGTATTAATCTGTGTCTCTGTTATATGGTTTGGAAGTGTCAAGTATTGAATATATTATTCTGAGCTAATTTTCAATTTAGTGCCATGTAAAGGCTGTAGATGCGTCTGCCTTATCCTCTGACTCATTCTGTCAACAGCTAAGCTGATCTCAGAAGTCATTTTGATTGCCACTCCTACACACCTGCTAGTGGAGGGAGATGCTCTGAATGTTACCTGTGCTGCTACAATAACTGAAAGTCCCACCCCTACACTGGACTACATCATCCTCAAGGACAACCACATGCTTTTCAGGTCTACAGGGTCTCGATCCTTCAGTGTCATCATACCCACTGTTGCTGAGAGAGATGCTGGGTGGTACAACTGTTCTGTCACTGACCTATTGGGGTTCCAGAGATGCAGTGAGGGGATACAGGTCACTGTGGAAGGTGAGACCCGTGCAGCCCATTCCCCCTCAGCATGTACTCGTGCTCTCCCACGAAAGAACTGCAGAAATTATTTTAATTATTGTCTGACCTTTGACCTCTTCCTGACCTCCCATGAATATTTGTCTCATTCGGTTCAGATTTATTTCAGAAAGTGGTTCTGATGTCAACACATGGAGGGGCATTAGTCATGGAGAAGGAGTCTCAGACCCTCCGCTGCGTGGCTTTTGTCCACAAGCTGAGGGCAGCACGCACCAATGTGACCTACGTCTTTCTGAAGGCAGGGCAGCCCATAGCAAGCAGCAGCTCTCCTGTGTTCCACATTGCCAGTACCGAGAGGAGCGATGCTGGCAGTTACAGCTGCATGGCCCGCTCAGGGACAGCTGTCGGACACAGTCCAGAGGTCCGTCTTGAGTTATATGGTGAGGAAATCAGAGCCTGTAAGGCAGGCAGTAGTCTGTGTCATGGCCAGGTGGACAAGGTCAGTGCGTTAGGGGTCAGCATGACCCACAGGGTACCCACTAATGTTGGGGTGGGGGGGAATTCTCTCTTCCAGAATATATTCCAAAACCCACACTGACGGCCAAGCCCCTGAGTGGAAGGGTGTACACAGAGGACCAGATAGTCCTGAAGTGCAAGCTGGATGCCTTTGTTGGCTGGAAGTACTACTGGTACAAAGACAGGAAGGAGGCCTACCCAGTGGAGCAGAACTGGGGCAGCAGAGGAGATGGAGCCAAGTACATAATCTGGAGGGCATCTCTGAAACACACCGGGTGGTACTGGTGCAGAGCAGGGAGAGGGAGCCCCATCTTCTACACAGACTACAGCGAGCCTCTCTTCATTAATATCACCGGTGAGTGGGCTACTTTAAAACAGGATATGGAATCCAGGTGATGGTAACTCTTAATGACTTTCTATTAACTGTTAAGGAAAAAAACCAAATGAAACTGCATGGTAATGTGAAAATCCATGTGTCTAGTTGGGAAAAATTAATTAAAAATAGTGTATGTGTAAAAGTATTCTTATATTGGCCAGTTATCTTAGGCTAGACTACAAATTAAGTTACGGGGTTTGTGGCACAATGATGTCAGGATCAGTGCCCGTCCAGCCCTGTCCCATGTGCCTTCTCCCTGTTCGGTCCGCAGTTCTCGCTGGCCATCCTGTTTGGTGTTACCTTAGTGCAGGGGTGGCCAGTCTTATCCGCAAAGGGCCGGTGTGTATGCAGGTTTTTGGGATAACCTGTAGGTCAGCTGTTCAAACCCAGGTGTGAGGACTCTTCAGCCAATCAGTCCTCTAATTAGTAATCTAATTAGGGAGTTGCAGCGAAAACCTGCATACACACCGGGCCTTTGCGGATAAGATTGCCCACCCCTGCCTTAGTGCCTTTCCCTGCTCCCTGGGCCACAGCGTGGCTTAAATTAAGGGGTCAGTCATCATCCAGATTCATCTTTTGTTTGCTTTTCTTAAATAGCTATTTGCATTTGTTATTTTGTGTGTTCTTAGTCTATCATATGTTTTTGTATTTCAGTTACAGTTCCATGTTTTTTGCTACCCGTTCCCTGTTTGTTCAATTTCCCTTGTTTTAGGTTTCCCTTGGTGTTTGGACCATTTCAATATCTGTTTATTGCCCTCACCTGTTCCCTTGTTACCCTGCGTCCATAGTAATTAGTTATGGTTCTTAGCTGTCCCTCGTCTAGTTTTATTATCAGTGTATTTAAGTGCCTGCTTTTGTTCTGTTCCCTAGTCCAGGGAAGCCCAGTCCTGCTCCTGGAGAGCTACCACCCTGCAGAGCTTATGTACAGCCCTAATTTAACACACCTGATACGAATAATCAGGCACTTCAGTATCATCTCAGTATTAGAGTCAGCTATGTTGATGTTAAGCTGGTTCTCATACTGAGATATAGCTGAAGGGTCTGATTATCTGTATCAGGTGTGTTAAATTAGGGCTGTACCTAATCTCTGCAGGGTGGTAGCTCTCCAGGAGCAGGATTGGGCACCCCTGCCCTAGTTGGTCATTGTTGTTGTTGTCATCATCATCATCATCATCATCATCATCATCATCATCATCATCCTGTGTTTGCTGTATGGGGGTTACTTTATGTTAGTTCCAAAATTTTTTCATACCACAACGATACCTTGATTTCAGTACTGGTTCCTGAATAATGTTTTTTTCAATCAGTTTCAACAACAACAACAAAAATTAGGGATGGGCCTATTCACATTTTTTCAGTTCTAGTCAGATTCAGATACACATTAATATTTATACCTTCTGTTTTGGTTTCATCTGACAATAAAACCTCCTCCCACATCTTTGTAGCAAATGCCATACGTGCTTTTATGTGGATCTTCTTAAGGAATAGCTTCTTGCTACCGTCCTGTAGAGGCCTGTTTTATGGAGAGCTCTAGAAATTGTGGACCCATCCACCTTCACTCCAGTTTCAGTCAAACAGCATTGCAGACGTCTTAGAGTGACAGTTGTAATTTTAGTAGCAGTCGACTTTGTGCTCTGATGCTTAGTTTTGTGAGGGATGACCTGTTCTAGTAAGGGTCAGTGCTTTGATGAACCTTCCACTTTGATGATGGAACCAACAGTCGTTAACAGGATAGTCAAACTCTTCAATATTTTTCCTGCCTTGTGCATTTCAATGACATTGTTTCTCAAATCAGCAGAATACTCCTTTGTCTTCATTTTTGTAGTGATTGTCAAACAAAGTCAATGGCTTTTCCAGCGGGTACTTTTTATATCCAGAGAGAAACATCAGGTATATGTAGTACCTAATTATGTTTAATTATGATCTAATAACTGTCAGCTATGTGTTGTTTGTCATTAATTTGTCATGCACAGGGCTTTGAATGCTTATGCATTGAGTACTTTGGCAAGCCACTGTACATACATTTATTTAAATCAGCTTTGATTGAAACCTTAGTGGCCCCTTGTCTAAAGTAACATGATTCACCATAAAGACACGCAAGCAAAGACAGAATCTGAGAGACTGGTGGGACAGGGAGGACATTAACTTGTATTATATTTTGCATTTAGAGCCTGAAGCTGAAAGCTGGATCATTCATGTGTAAACCGAGAGCCCATTGTCAGACACCCCTCTGTTTATGCTGCCTTTTTATGCAAACCTGCTGCAGAGCTTTTCACCAGTGTGGGACTGACCGTGTCCCCAGGGACAGTGCTGAGGGAGGGGCAGCCCTTCCATCTCACCTGTGAGGCCCAGTTGAGCAAAAGGCAGAAGGCCCTGCCCCCCACCACTGCCACAGTAAGGATTCTCTTCACTTTCTGGAGAAATGGTGAACCCCTGGGCAGTTCTTTGGACTCGGCGACTTACAGCATCAGTGAAATGCTTAGCTGCCACGCCGGACGATATGTCTGTAGTGCGAGCTCTGGGAGAGCCGAGAAGCGCAGCAGGGAGGTACTCATCACCTTAGATGGTGAGTGTTATGACTGATGGGTGGTGCTGTGATCTTCAACATCATTGGAGCCTATCGGTGCAACTATGCTTTTGGGAAAATGTACCCCAGTTTAGCAGGGGAGTAGTAAACAACATTATGAAGTCTGTGATACTGACACTGACAAGAGTACTATACTTCCCTTAGACTACTCTTGGTTAGCTAAACAAATATCTAATTGCAGTTAAAAAATTGAAAGCAGAAGTCCAAATTCATTAGAAACAACACATTAACAAGCTGCTCAGCTTGCTGTTTGGAGTTCTGGATAAAACTTGCATGATGAAACTAGCATCGTAAAATCATTTGTTGTGTAAGATTAAAAATAATTTCAATGTTCTTGTTACAATGCTGAAAACAGTTATGATTACGCTAACATTGTGCCTTGGCTGAAGTGGGATTATTACAGTTACATACAACAAAATTGTTCTAGGAAACATTAAATAAGGGAAAACAATTTCATTCTTGGGCCAAATTGTAGGTTTGTAATTGGGCCTGTTAAACCACTTCTGGACATTTTTCAACCAAATCAAGTTATTCTTTCTATATAGACTATATAGAACAATCTGGAAGAAAAAAACATATATTCTATGGCACCTGTTTGTTCCTCCCAATCAGATCCCAAAGTCACTCTGACAGCAGTTCTTGGAGCAGTGCTGCTCATCGTCATGGTAACTGTGGCTTTAGTAACGAAAATCTTGTGTGTTAGAGGTGAGTCTCCCATCTTGCTTTGGTACCGTTTTGGAAAGAACTTTTATTAACGAACACACTCATAATGTCTGGATAACTTAAGCGGACTGCTATTGAAAGATGAGCTGTTTGGAACCCGGCTCGCTGCCCATGGCTGTTCTCTTCCCTCGGGCCTCACGGTCCTCTCTACTTGCTGTGATCCCAGGTTGCACAGCTCAGCGGCATAGGGCCGGCAGTCCAGGGGGAGCGACACTGCAGGCGGAGCTGACGGAGTCGGTGGATGTCAGGTTAGGTTGTGTGTTTAGACCTGCATGTGTCCCAGCGACCTGTCTAGACTAAGTAATGTGTTACGGTTGTCCACAAGTGGATAGAATGGTGATACTTTAGTAGTCCCCTTGGGGAAATTCTCTTTTTCGCTTTACTTTGTCTTGCCCTGCATACAGGTGAGTGCAAGCTTGGGGGTCACAGAGAAGGGCAGCCGCCTTACAGCACCCAGGGAGCTGGGGATTAAGGGCCTTGCTCAAGGGCCCATGGACATGTGGCTATTCTGCCCCCTATCATTGGTTTAAATATTAACAATAAGGTCAATCAAGAGAAAGCAAACTGATAGTTTTGTGTCTTCATCTTTAGGTTGACTTCAATACCCTTCACTGCTGCTGGTGGTGGAATAAGCACCGTTTCTCCTGGGGGCAGTAGTTCTTTTCCATTGCAGAGAGTGTAATTAACAGTAATTCACAGTGCCTTCCCTTCTAGCTGCTTAGGTAGCAGCTGCCAACCAATACACCCTTTGCACCAAAGAAAATAAAACATTTGAGACAGCAGCAGAGTCTCTGAGTATTCCCCACAGTCTGTATATTGATGATGGACCGTCGCCCCGCCGTTTTGAGCTAGGTATTGCCCTTGTAGTTACTTCCTATTACCACATGATGGCGACAAAATTCCATTTTTAATCCCACAGACGATTAGTGGGCCTTACCCTGTTATAAAACCTGCAGTACAGAAAAGAAAGAGGGGTAGTTGTTTAAAATTCGTGGCTTGGGATACAGGTGTAAATAAAAGGCAATAGATTCAACTCAGTATTTCAATAACTTCATTTTTATGTATAAATGCAGGTTGTTTTTTTATTTAATATTTCTATATTAAGTGCTCATGAATTCTTGAGATGCTTAATTCCGTAAAAATACTGCATATTTATTAGTTGTGTTACAAAAATTATTCATTTTTCTACAACTATATATATATATACAATCTCCTGAACTCCAAACTGAATGTCAGAATAGGAAAGAAAGGTAATTTAAGCAATTTTGAGCGTGGCATGGTTGTTGGTGCCAGACGGGCCGGTCTGAGTATTTCACAATCTGCTCAGTTACTGGGATTTTCACGCACAACCATTTCTAGG